TTGCTATGGCATTCCTCTGTCCAGTTTCACCCTGAGAGTCAGACAGGTGTTCTCATTGGACATGAAAGCCTCTGGTGATGCATGTCAGTCTTTATCACCCATGATGATGGCCTGAGGTAAGGAAACTGCTTCCATTCCTCTGACATGGGGAACTCTTTTGAGTTTCAGCACTTTTGTGATAGTTTTGGCAGCCGGGGAAGCAACCGTTCAGAGACGGAGGTGTACACTAAATCCCTTTTTATCGGTTGTTTAAGCTCCTATTTTTTTTAGGGCCTTTTTTTTCTTGACTGTGATGGAATTTGTCATTTTGTCTCGCTGTCTCAGACCACTTACAAAACGTCCCCCGTTGTCTGTCATTACGCTCGGCAGCGTGTCGCTTGACACTAGAGGTTGACATTTTGGGGTAGCCGCGTCATTGTCAAAGTGGTTCCAAGGTTCTGTAGTCCTACTATCTGTCCTGGTGCTTTGTGTTTGTGATGGGGAACTGCCTCAATTCCTCAAGTTTAGAAGAGAAGACATGCTTCTAACAGCCAAACTGTGGGATAAATCTTTAGAGTTGTGGAGTATTTTTGCACCATACTGGTAAGGAGGTAGTAGAAGTAGTAGGTATCGATATCTTTTGGATTTGGGGACTCAAAACCTGATATTAGCTCATGTCTAAGAGATTGTGTAGTCCGTCTCATTCAGATACTGTACGTACCATGTGTGATGTGATGTGTCTAATCCTGACTAAATGACTCACATGTTGACAAAATACTCAAACTTCAGTGGGTTGTAAGACTCCTTAGATGTCTTTGTAATTGTCTCCTCTCACTGCGAATGATCCGTCTCCCGTCTCCCAGTGAACCCAAAAAGACAGTCCAGAAACTAAGCATGACAGGGAGGGAGTTGCCTTGGCTACCAATAAAACGGCCCCTCGGCGCCAAGGGGGCTGATCATAACCGAGCTCCTCTACTTCAGTTCCCCAAGTCACGTCCCATCGTGCTTGTTTTGGACCGACACTGTCGCAGTTTCTTTGTGGTGAGTTCAGACCGTCTGTAGATAATTCAAGGAGATTTACGGCCCCTGAATTTTGGGAGTAAATATTATAAAACAAAATCCAAGCCGCGCAGGGCTGTTACATGGGATGCACTCAGTATGGAAAGCAAACAGAGAGAAACAGCCCGGTTGATGCTGGCTGGCTGGCTGGCTGTACAGGATGAGATGGGCTCTGAGGTTTGATGGGGCAGAAGAAGGCTCATGCAGACGGCTGGCTGCTCCTTTTGACGGCGTGTCAGGGTTTGCTCACAAGCTGCTCTGCCGCATCTGGGTGATGCAGTCATCATTGTGGCAGGCCTGTCAGAACAAACTGGTGTGCCGGAGACAGATACAGCTTTAGTGGCTGGATGGAGAGTATGCAACACATGCACCACCCTAACATGGAATATGTTCCCCAAACTGGCAAGCTGGTGGCAAGTTTAATGACAGGAACGACCAGTGACATCATATAAAAACACGATTATGCTCCACTAAAGACATCCGAGCGAGTCCATAGATCAAACGGACAGGGTGATGACTTAAAGCACTAATGCGCTGGCTACTGGCATTACTTTAAACAGGAGCCTCGGTAGAAGAATAAAAAGTTTGCCTCTGTAATTTCAATGGGAAATTTCACCACAAAAGGGGCGCAGAAAGAAAATAAACACCACTCACGCACACAAACACACACAAAGAAGCTGAGACAGACAGGACCGAGAAGAGAGAACGCTCAGGCATTGCCAAAAGGTTGGTTTACATTGCATCACCAATGCAGTGTTTTTAGTTTTTTGTTCATTTTATTTGTGATGTATTCAAATGAATTGACAGTCACAGTGGGAGAATAATGTGTAATCATTAGCAAAGGGTTTGCAAATTATTTATGTAATGTAAACCACGATAATTTACTTACACGTTTCCCTCATACGGCCATTAACCGGTAACTTGGAAACCAATAAATGTCACAAACACTTTCACTTAATTAAAACAATAGATATCATATTGCAAGGTAAGATGTCAGTCATACCACAGCCTCCTGCACATGGCAATTTACTGCTAACGCGTTATGAGAGGGGGGAGGCGACACAAATAATAGCTATTAAACTGTCAGCTAGTGCAGGCTGGATCACATTACTGGAATTAGCCTAAGATGCACTATTATAAACAATGCCATCCTCTCTTTTTACATGCATGCATGCTCACGGATAAACTCACATGCATGCATGCGCACAGCCCGACAGAGAACGCAGTATGAAATGCTCCAATGCATCCACGTTATTTTCTTTTTTTTTACTATGTGAGAGTCTAAATTCATTTCTTAACCTGGATTATCCACCTGCAAATACACAAACTCCAGAGCTCTCATCTGGGCCCACGTGCGACCGAGCCGAGTATTTGATTAACGACGCGACATCCTCTCATTTCCTTTGCGCTAGCATGATACCGACGCTCCAATTTGTCCACTTGAAAGTGTAATTACGAATGTAGTAACGCAGCCCAAGAGGCCGCAACAGGCTGCTCTAATATTAAAACAAGGGTCGCTGCGTCAGAATGGCAATCTCACTCTTGACAAGTGCCCATAGCCGGGGTAGAAAGGGAGCAATAATGTAAAAAGAAATTAAAAACAAACACGGTTTTCTGTCTGACTTTTCACTGCTGTGCCTCAACTGGGAAGGTTCAGCGCTGATCGTCTCTGTGACACAGACAACACTGACATCTGCTGGTTTAAAATAAGGCTTGATTTTTTTAAAACCGTCCCTTTGCGTCAACATTTTTCTTGGCAAGCATGCTGCCTTTAACCAAACACATTATGATGCTTGATACCAATCATTAAGAAATCATAAACATAGAATTAATACGCCCTTTGTATTTCGGAGCCGACCATCCTAATCCCCACTCCTGCATCCCTCTAATTTCTGTTTAACGTGGATCAATCGAGCAGTGGAGCACACTTGTCAGCAGGACTAATTTATTTATGAACCCGTCATTTGTAATCATTGATCAAGATGTTCTCCGTTAGAGAACTATTGATATGCAAAGGTAAAAGATTCCCTAATTATTGTGTTTGGTCTAATTGAGGCTGTGTGCGTCTGCAGGAGGGTTAAGAGGGGAACCGACTGCTGCCCCGTCTGCCACCGGACCAGAGACACCAGCAGAATCTTAGTGGATTCACTTGGACCGCAGCTGATGTTGACACGTGCGCATCGAGTCGTTTATTGAGACCTTTATCTTTGCTATCGCGCTGTTTAGAGAGAATTTTAAACACTGAAGTACTAGATGGCGGCGTTTGCTTTAATGTGTGACTGTCTCACTGTTGACCTCAATGATCTTTTGAAACAAGGCTTTTAATCTTTATAAAACTGAATGGTCTAAACAATGCTGTCACGTTCTGTTTCATTTAGTTAATAGCTCATGAGAAGTAGATAAATGTCTCACCCGTGACCTATTAAAGTTTGTTGTATCGCCACCTGATCCTACTTAATAATGTCCCCTCAGGGCTTCACCTTTACTCTAGTTCAAATTGTTTGCCAGAAGTTATAATGTGCAATAAAGATCCAGATAGTTTGGTTAAACGTGCTGATAACGGTAATTATTTATTGTAATGTAAGAAGCCACAACATAGTAAAGATAGTTCTATCTGATCAATGGAATTGTCCAAAAAGGAATTCTGTGTTTTACAGAAAGCATGAAAAACATTCTAACATGAGAACTTAGACATAGTAAATACTACGGTATTATAAAGATGTTGTTTGTTTTTCTAAGCTGGTCAGAAATAGTCGACATTGAGGCTGTAATGTGTGGTCCACTCTTTAGTTTATGCAGTGGAGTCTTAGAATATCAGTCCAACAATGGCTGCCTTTCATAGCATCTATTTAAACAACCAATATCTTTTTGTAAAATTGGAGATCCATCTATCCATTATGTTTACACCGCTTAATCCTCATTATGGGGGGCTAGAGTCTATCCCAGCTGACTCAGGGTGAAGGCAGGTTCACCTGGACAGGTCACCAGTCTATCACAGGGCTACACTTAGAGACAGACAACCAAGCACACTCACATTCACACCTACGGACAATTTAGAATCCCCAATTAACCTCAACATGTTTTTGGACTGTGGGAGGAAGCTGGAGAACCTGGAGAGAACCTACGCTGCACGGGGAGAACATGGAGACTCCACACAAAAAGATCCCAGCTGTCCTCACCGGGACGCGAACCGGCGACCTTCTAGCTGTGAGGCAACGGTGCTAACCACCTCACCACCTTGTAGCCCAAAATTGGAGATGCATCATGTTTTTTTTTTTCACCAAACAGACTCATTTTAACTGTTCAACAGAACACATTTAATTTAAAAGCCGTTGTTATCCACCAACAAGAAGATCCTTGTTAGAGTCGTTTATTTTTGATTAACTCACCAACCAAATCAAAGCAGGCTCCATTTCAGTCTTGTCGGGTCCATTCAAGCAGATATTCAGGCTTTATCACTTTAAATAAACTGGGCTGAACTGGCCCCTAATAATGGGCTGCCAAGTGTTTCTGCATTTTACAGTTTTGACCAGTAGTGGGCAGTCTTGGACTGAGTGCCTGTTCAGAATCATAACAATCATCCTCAGAAAGTGATGTCAAACATTAAAAAACATTAAAAGTTCTTGCACCATAGTTCATGACATATACAGCAACAATGCTAATGAGCTCAAATTTAACCCTAAAAACTGCGTCTGTTACTGTATACTGCTATAATATAGCCGACATTTAAATTCTATGAATCTTTCCAAGACAGTTTTAGTATTAAACTACCAGCTAACAGCAAAAGTATTTCTTTTAATAGTGTCTATTAGTGTAATTGGGTCTTTTTTCTCAAAAATGTTAACAAATCTCGCTAACCAAGTACCCGATCTCATGAAACAGGGCAGCCTGTAGAGAAGAAGAAGTAGAAGAATCCCATCTTCCAACAGGCCTTATTTGAATGTGCAAAACAGTAAGTGTGCTGCCAAGAATCAAAAATGATTTAATTTCAGAATTTTTTCTTTCCAGTCAGTCATACAGAAAATAAATGAGACACATCCATTCTTAAGGTAGCTGCTGTCAGTTATGATGCTGTGCAGACAATCCAGATATACAACAAGAAAAAGGTCGTCGATATTCTAACAGAAATCTACAGAAGTTTACGTACAAAATGGTCAGAAAAATGCATCGCTTTAAAGCAAGAGTATAAGCTTTGGAATCCAACTGTATAAGGAATGCAGAGAGCAGCTTTCATGAACAATTCAAACAACGTCACCAATCATCACCAGTTAAAGATGAATACTGTTTAAGCAACACCTGATTAAAAATACATTACCAGCAATCAACTGCTAAATCAACTGCCTGCTAAATACAGCGTCTTCGCAGCCCATCCAGCAAATCACCTCACGGGTGCATCTTGGGTAAATATCTGCATTAGAATTTCCACTGATTTATAAAGTCACTCAGTGAGAGAGAGAGGAGTGTGGCGGAGAGGGCGGAGCTACCCTCTTATTTATTAAATTATTGTTTGGGGCCATTGGTTTGAGCTTTTGTCCCCACGTGTTCCCATCTGTCAGCCGGTCTGTCCAAACTGGGGCTGAGGCCTCGATGTGCTGAAGAGGACAAGCGAGAAACGCCGTTCACTGTTAGCGCCGCGCTGTCTATGGGGCAGATGTAATCCGCAGATTCATCAGGTTTCCTCTTCCTCAGGTGACTAAACTGGGTGAAGCCGAGCTTCTTTGGCTGGAAACACAGAAAGGTCAAGGCATTAATAAATCATTTTAATGTCGTGCTGCGACAGCGGTGCAACATTTTGACTTACTGACTTAAACAGTGCCATACCTTTACTTTAGCGGTGGTAGTGAGGGGCACGTGGCCCGTGGCGTTGCCGTACTCTCGCTTCTCTTGCGTGGCCTGAGGCCCGATCAGGGCGGAGAAGGCGGTGGCGAGGTGGCGGCGGAGCAGAGTCTTCTGTGGAGGAATATTTAAGAGCAGCGCCAGAGTTTCTGAGCTGAAACGAGGCTCCAGGATCTGCAGAGGAGCAGATGGACAGAAGATGAGGGTCTCTCCACATACGTCATGTCAGTGGGATCTGGAAAAACGAGCTCACCATTTACAGTACTTACAATGAGCCCACCGTGAACACCGCTGCCCCGTAGATTAGGAGCATACTCAGCTAGATCCACGGCCCTCAGCCACTCCATCACACGGTGGTTCGACCACTGCACCACCTCTGAGGGAGACGGCTGCTTCTGAGGAGATTAAAAGTAAAAATACTCTTTGGAATAACACCCCTTTTTATTTTACTTGTACTTGTTTGAACTTTCTTATAAATAAATCAATAACTACCCTTGAAAACATTTGAAAGCAGTTTTGTTTAAGAAGAAAATTGTGGCTAAAAAACATTTAACATTCATTTGTCGCCATCTTGTGGCCAACTGATGTGATGACGTCTGATCAGGGTTTACTGGTATCTCAGTAAAACAGTTGATAAATTTGTTTTCTAATATCCTTCTTATGTTCTGCTTGGAGCGTCAAGATTTCAGATTTGCATACAAAATACAGCTCAACAGCAGAGGAACTGCTTTATGCAACACACTCTGGTTCAAACTACTGATTCAGCTTCCACTTACTGCTTTCTATTTTGGCTTACCTCCTCCCCTGGCCTGCGTCGAAGACAGTGTGGGTTGAACTTATTGACATGAAGGACGTGAATAGCACATTTAATACTGAGATGATGGAGCTGGCTGGTAACCTTTAGAGTCAAGAGATCATTCTGAGTGAACAGAAAAAGAACACCAGTGAGCGCCCGTGAAAAGTAGGCCAGACAGATTTATACCAGTGATTGCACTTGTGTTTTTGAAATGCGAGGCCTAAACTTTCAGAGGAAATGTTACAGTGCAGACGTGCAAGATGAAGGCTCACCACTGTGAGATATTGTATCATCCGGCCGTCGACTCGAGCTTCGTGGAACTGGTCTTTATACTGAGGCAAACCGATGTCATCCAACCAGCCTAGAAGGGGGGAAAAGTAGACATGAATGCACTTCATTCAATAAACTTTAACCCTGCTCAGGACTTTTCATGTTTCCATATGAAGAAGGTCTTTCAGGATCCATTGGACCCCAAAAAAGAAAATGTGCAGAATATTTGTTGACTTCTATACTATGTTAAATACATTTTCTTATAAGTTGACATATTTCTGGTTCTAAATGCAAAACAAATGTCCCTCTTTTTATATTAAAAAAATAAAATAAAATCCTCAAAAATGAAAAAACAATGGGGCTGCAAGATGGCTCAGTGGTTAGTACTGTTGCCTCATTTCTAGAAGGTTGGTGGTTCGTGTCCCGGTGAGGACACCCGGGATCTTTCTGCGTGGAGTCTCCATGTTCTCCCCGTGCAGCGTGGGTTCTCTCCGGGTTCCTCCCACACAGTCCAAAAACATCCATCCATCCATCATCTATTCACCGCTTAATCCTCACTAGGGTCATGGGGGGCTGGATTTTTTCCCGGCTGCTTCAGGGTGAGGGCGGGGGCCCCCTGGACAGGTCACCAGTCTATCACAGGGCCACACTTAGAGACAGACAACCAAGCACACTCACATTCACACCTACGGACAATTTAGAATCACCAATTAACCTCAACATGTTGTTGGACTGTGGGAGGAAGCTGGAGAACCCGGAGAGAACCCACGCTGCACGGGGAGAACATGCAAACTCCATGCAGAAAGATCCCGGATGCGAACCGGCGACCTTCTAGCTGCGAGGCAACAGTGCTAACCAACTGCTCCACCTTGCAGCCCGTCACATGTTAGATAATGGATGGATGGATGGATGAAAAACAACACCTGTCACCTAAACCAAATGGCCTGTGATCCAAAAGACCCCGAAAGTCCTGAACAGGATTAATACTGCGACAACCATCATCAGCTGTCAGGCGTCAAATCACGTTCAATGTGGTTGTCCATTGCTTCAGTTTATTGCATGAGGAGTTCTGTTCTGCAAAAGTTCAGAAAAGGACTTTAAATGACTCCATGCAGAGTAAGAGCCTTACGTGTGACCCAGATGTGGTCTAGCTCTGCTGATTTCTCTACAGCTTTAGTGGTGAATGCTCTCAGAGCGAGCTGCAGCTTCTTCCTGTGCAGTGGATTCTTCATTCCCATCTCCTAAGGACAGAAAGAACAGTTTGTCTCTATGAAACATCAGTATAACTGGTTGTTCACCTGCATGTGTGTAAATTACTGATAGTTGATGTGACCTAATATTTATACATATTGAAAGTATTAGTTTATAATATGCGATATGATTTAGGTCTACATTTGAGGTATTCTAGTCGTGTTTATTCTCTGACCTTCTCATAATCCTGAGGAGAGGCGGACAAAAGCGTCTGACCGTTTTCAACCCACTGTCTGCTGAGGCTGACGTAGTGACCCAGTCCATAGTCCTCCAGCCAGCTGCACACCTGCTCCTTGGTCCACTGGCTGAACGGAATATTCAGATCACTGACAAGACAAATGGAAAAAGGGAGATTAGACAAGGAACTGGTCATTTTATTGCAATGCTCTTCTTTTGAATATTAACAGTAAATGCCGAACACATTTAAAGAGCCTGAAGCCTCTTCTCATTTTGCCCGTTTATGACATGATGGTGGCGGTGGGGATGTCATGATAGAATTGTGACTTTATTGATAACAAAACACTGAGTTGTACCGAGCAGAGTCGTAGGATTCAGGGGTCCTGGTCAGTCTGGGTCCAGCTGTTGCTCGCAGTCCACCTCTTCTGAACTGACCCACATCTGGATCTGCTGCGTTGAAGCCTCCAGACTGGGTTCTCCGAAGTCTGTAGGGATAACAGCACACTTCATGTAAAATAATCAACATGTAAGCACTCACTATATTGTTATCAAATTTAATAAAAAGACAGAAGATAGAGTCGATAATAGGAAACACTTTGAATTTTTCACTTATAACTGAAACACATTTACCCAGTTACTTAAATAACTGACAGTTTTGGTGCAGTAAATAGCAAATTAAGTGTTTTTTTTTGTACTTTAGAGGCAGTATGGTAGCAAAGCAGTAGTTTATAAAGATGCCATACAGTGTTATATTAATTTATTGTATGTCATATGCATGTATACCATAAGCTATTTAGATGAAAATAGCATTTAAAGATGTCCTCCTCATTGTTTGATTGTGCTTTCCTTTGTCCTATCCAGTGATCATTGTTTCAAGTATATATTCATCTATTTTGTGGCACTCACTTCCCCCAGAGCCTCTTGAAGCTCCTGTTGTTCTTCATGTATTCCGGTGAGCCCACCGCCCGCTGGCCGGGCTGCGTGTTCGCCCCAGAATGAACCGGAGAATTATCACTGGAAGTGCTGTCGTCGGCCTTCTCCGGCTTTCCTTTAAGAGGTCACACAAAAACCCACGGTCAGTCTAATGCGACTGCGGTTCAGTTTGTTTGAATGTGCTCTTGAGGGGCCAGTTAGATTACGCAACATTTCATAGGTGCGTTTAATTGGATGAAAATAGCAGTTCACTGAAAATAATTTGAGCGAACAAAGTCCCGCCGCAATCCTGCCAAACAAAACACATTTGATGAACGACATCTATGAAAAGATCAGACTTGGTGTATTTGCGGCTCTGTTAAAGACAAAATGCTGGTGAGTAGAAAGCCGTAAAAAGCTTTTTTTTTAAATTTTAAATACCAAACAGGACATTAAGAGCAAAGTAGCACATGTGCGGTGGTCTGCCTCCTCACAATGCTCTATTCAGTAGCAGGTTACACACCATTGAGTTCAGCAAATAATTCATCAGTTAATGCCCCTTGAAAAAAGAAAGAGTTCAAGCTACTTTTTTTTTACAAGGTGCGATCTTTATGATATGAACTGCAGGCAGTCGGCAGCAGAACGCAGCGGGGAGGAATCAGGGTGGGGCCCGAGTTAAAATTGGTGGAAGGGTGGAGCTGGGATAAATGTGGTCAATCAGAGCAGGAGAGAGAGGGTGTGTTTGGTAAGAAAGCTGATCCCATCATCCCATCTGTCTTGTCAGGAGCCTCTGCAATTAGCCGCCATCAAACGTGCAGTGGTCGTCTGGTCAAAGGGGAGCGGTTCGCTCCGAATGTGAGTTCTGCCTTAACTCATGGGAATTACCAGGCTACGGCCTATTTCACAGAGAGGGACGACTGATCCTACAGTATTCCAGGGCTCATTACAGCGCGCTATCCGTCATATCGTAAATTACCAAAAATAACACTCTGCGAGGCTCGACTTAATATCTTGGGGGGTTTACTTTGGCTGGAGTCTCCGTCTTCGCTCCCGTCTGGGGACCTTTGACTCTGGATTTCAGGGCTGCTGTCTTCGATTCCGTTTTGTTCTGACAGAGAGGAATTCACGGGCAGCGTCTGACTTCTGGTGTCACCCGAAGCAGCCTGGATGAACCACACGCAGACAGAAATAAAATTTAAAAAAGACAGTGAGGTTGCTGAACAACAAAGACGGCTGTGAATAGGATGCGTGTGGATTATAATGCTGAATGAATGGTTCTCTGATGCATTCATCATGGAATAAAACAAGCACAGGAGCCTGTTGAAAACTTAAGATGTGCATTTATTATATTTATCTAAAGAGGCCTTTCTTGTTTTATTTGTATGTTTAAAGCATACCTTGTGTGAGTGTCCATTTGGTAAGTCGTTCATGCTGCTCGATAAAGTCTGTGCTTCTGTTCTGAGAGGATAAAAGCACAAAAAAAAACTCAATAAAACCCTACTGGGAGATCTTGGAATCATTCATTGACTAGATACTGCTTGAATACCTCGAATCGCTCTCTTTTGACACCGATAAAAGAGACGTTTGTTGGGAGGAGGAGCTGCTGGTCGAAACCTGTGACAAGTAGAAGTCTAGTTTAAGAGTTTAAACAGACTAAATACAGTTCATGCAAACAGTGAATTCACCAACGTGAGACGAGCTGAAATGTTTTCTGAACCCACTTCGGACTTCACGTCCTCAGATTTCGCGCTGGCACTGTCAGCGTTCCTCATCAGCGCGTGCTCTTCTTCCTCGCTGCTGCTCGACATCGTCCTCCCATTTGACAATGAACGAACAGTAGATGGAGCTACGGGAACAAAGAGAAGCAGTGGAGCACATTCTTCTTAAAAAAAAGAAAAGGGGGAAGTGTGTTGGGTTTCATTTTGCTCAAGTGTTCTGCTAAGATAGTACAAATACTGCGAGTGGAAAGTTAAGGCAGGGAATAAGCTGATTACCTTGCCTTGTGATGTGAGCGACCTCTCGAAACTGTCTGCACTGATTCAGGAGCAGAGTGAGCTCCTCGATGCGTCGGTCCTGCAGAAAACAGGGTTGGGCAGGTTCAGGGTCAACAAAACGCAATTTGCAATGTTTATCTAAGGTTAGGGAACACACATACGGACCGGCCGCTTCGCTCTGTTAGGGAGCGATATGCCGCACAAACGCTCCTTCTTCTACCATATGGCCTTTACATCAAAGTAATGGATAGGGAGGGGATTGACACAGGCCTGGCTGGAAATCTTAGTTGTGGTAACCAGCTGCGAGGAGTGTGTGTTTTTTGAAGTGGTGCCGATGCCTGGTTTTCGCTATGGTCCTCTTAATGCCGCTCGCTCCAAAATTAGGCTTGGCAGAAGGGAGGCCGAATGTGGCTTTCGCCTGAAATGGCTCGCCTTGGGGTGTGTGTGTGTCTTCACTGGTGTGCCACATGTAGGCCCATGTCTGCAAGTCTTTAAAGTCCGAGATACTCCGGGAGGGAGAATACAAAAGCCCCTCTGTGCTATAAGCGGTGGGGAGGGCGGTGCCGCTGAGAAATGACAACATCTAAAAGCAGCCACTTTCTAACCTTATGATTCACTTCACGGGCCGGTAGCGCGCTTTACATTGTAGTAACACTAATGACGATACTGTGTAATCACACACAGCTGTTTTGAAGAGACAGAGAAAGGATAGGCTTACAGGTCACTGCTAACTCACCTTTTCATCATTGGCTGCTACCAGTGATTTCATTCCACTCCTAAGCCTCTGTAGTTCTTGATCTATGAGAAGAAACCCCACACGGATTATTAATCTGTACAGGCAGCTGTCATATATATAAATATGCATTTTGAACAGATCTGTTTAGTGGAATGTAGTTATTTAGAAAATAAAGGACAGGCATAAACACATGCAAGCATGTTCCTCGCTAGAGTGCCGTCTAAACCATGTATTTTTAGATTAATCCAAGCCTTTTTTTATCGACCAATCACAGCTTTAGTCGTGTCAGCTTTTACATATTTGGGCCCACAGACCCTTCCTCTGTAACAATAACAGGCATACAGACAGCATCGGCAGTGAGTGACAATGATTATACTCAGCAAGTATACCCCAGAGAGGTGTTTATCTGTGACAGAGCGAAATTACGAACAGACATTACTCCTTCAGGAATCCATATAGACGACAACAAAGCCAAGGGGAAGGGAGATAGTGCGTCGAGTAATTTTAGAAACCAGTTGATGATTGTCAGAGCTAGCCCTCAGAGCAGAAGGAAACAAAAAAGATAATAAAATAAAGAGACATGTCTGAAGAAAGGAAATAAACGAAGGATCAAAAAGTAGACATGGCCCGTGGGTTTAAAGTGATTTTCATTAGGTTCTGCTCAGGCTTACATTTGGTGTTTAGCCTCTTCCTGTACATCTCCTCTGAGAGAGAGAGAGAGACAGAAACCCGTGATGAGACAGTTTATTACCGTCCAAGACACACTTTTCCCACAGCTGTTACTGAAAGTTAACGAATGCAACGAGGAGTCATTAACTGTGTCACCTATCAGGATGGGTGACTCTGTCAGACAAGGGAGGTGTTGGGGTTTGTTTTGTTTTTTATTTTATTTGGCAGCTTTATGAGCGCTTGAAGCCGGGTGCTTTGCTTACCTCTCTCTGTGCTCTCGCTGGTTAGAGAGGGTCTGGCTAGCAGCTGATTGTGTAAGCTCTCAATCTCAGCGTTCTTACTGAGCAGAAGCTGCTGAAGGCTGCTGATCTCTGCCTGTGGGTAACACACAGTGAGGAATCTTAGCAGAGAGGGCATGCAGTCCTGTACAAGTGTATGAGCCAACACATGCCTGTTTAAACATTCATCCTCCCCCCCCACACCCTCGCCAAAAGCTCCTACACATTCACAAAAACACACAAGAAAGACAGCTTTAGGTGCTCGTACTTGTCCTCACTTGAAAACCACATTTGGGAAGAAACTAACATTTTGTTCCACCAGTGCAGATAAATAAAACACCCACAACAAAAGGACAGAAATGTTCCTTCTTCTGAGTGCTAGACGAACAAATGTTAGGCCACTGCTGTCTGGAGTTAATAGTTTGTTTTGATGCAAGTTGCAGGAAGAACACACAGATGGCAGTAAAGTTAAGTCCAGGCTGATCTGTTTGCCAGTGAGTTGTGTCTGCACGCTGCGCAGAGGAAAGTTAAAAAACAGGAAAATACACCTTTTACCTCAAGTACCACATCATCCTTTGGCTTTTCGTGTCGTCAAAACATAGCTCGCCACTGGTTTGTTTAAAAACGGTGGATGATGTACACAAACTCGCGCAGAAAAATGCACTTTAAATAGCTCGGCATCTGCCATTTTCGCATCTGCAGCCAATTATTCCGACGTACAACCAGATTTTCCAGGCTTGATTGAAAACAATCTGAGCAAAGTTCTAACCTGGAAAAGGTTTCAGCAAAAATGTTGTTCACTTTTGCAGAGCTGCTGCTGCTGCGAGTTTTTGAATTATAGCATTCACACTGAAAAACAAACCCTGCGGACCTCCTTTGAGCAAAACGATTGAGGTATTTTTGGATAATTGCGACATTATAAAAAAAAAAGCGTCTTCCCACATGACCCTCAAGCCAGTCGTGTTGTGATTGTAGCTGTCCAGGCAATATTTAGCTCTTCGTCTGCTGTGAGCAAATGGATTTAAAGTTTAAAAAAACAATCACACTGCTGCTTGAATGACAAAAGAGTAGAATGACAACACGATAGAACAGATCCGATTCACAGACACAGACAGCTACTGGGAAGACAGAGAGATGATAAAATAAAAGGAGGCATAATGGAACGGAAGTAGTTAATATAAAAGGACGAAGCCGTTATTAAATCTATTTCGGCTGTGCTTCAAAATAGAGAGCAAATGGCTCTCAGACGTCCTAAGAAAACATAGGTGTCTGCGAATGAGAGAGCAAAAAGGGAATGACTCACTTAACTGGCTGGAACATCGCATTGGACGGCGTTTAGGAAAATCGAGTGGACAGTTAGCGGTGGAATCTAGGCACCGACGGCGGAGTTTAGTCCGACGAGCGTTCTTTTCTTTAGTTGTTGTTACCTTTGTCGCTTTGAGTTTCTTCTCGTACTGTAGCTTCTGATCCTCCAGGTGCTCCACTTTGTCCTTGAGAATCCTGAGTTCCTTGAGCAGGCCCTGAAACAGAAAACACGGGGAGATTTAGATAAGTGTTGGACAATCTACACCTTCACAAATTACACGAAATGCACCTTTTAGTTGGGTCCATTACAGATATCTATGATTAGTTGCCGTTTTTGCACACTGGCATGGAGGATATTTGGTAAATGAAATGCTTTTAATTAGCATCACACACACACGCTGAGACAACCCATGCTGCACACAACACTGCAAGTCATGCAGACGGGCATTGCCTACGCTTTCTCCTCCACAGTGGTACTGCTGCTCTGCGTCTGAGCTACCCTCTTTGGGGCTGTGTGTGTTCCCATCTGGAGCCTCTTCTAGTTTGTGCATCGCCCCTGAGGACACCCCCGGGTTTGAGGCCTGGCCCTCAGCGGACTCAGCGGGGCAAGCCGTAGGAGACCTGCTGTCAGCCGGGATCTCCAAGGCCTTTTTCTCCTGGATCTTGCTATTGATCTCCTTCTGAAACTGACACATCTGCTCCTGCAGCTCACTAATGAAATTCACTACAGTCTGGCGGATACAGCGAGAGGAGGAGGAGGGGGGGGAAAGAATTGAGAGAACTGTTTAGAAGGAGAAAGGAAAGAAAACATTGTGGGGAAAGTGTGTGCGTGTTTGTGGCTGAATCCATCATAATAGAAGTGACCTTTCAAATCAGTTTGTTGATGGCATTATAAATCCCAAGAAAGTGTATATTTGGTCCTGAGTCTGAATACATAAATACATATAAACCTCACACAGACTCTTGGCTCTTCCCGGTACACAAACACGTTGAGCCAGTTAGTCTCATCTGATCCGGGGAAACACATGTTGTTCTGTGTTTGTTAATGAGCTTTAACAAGCCTCTTGCGTCGACCGTGCCTGCGCTAACACAAAGCTGTGCCATCGTTGCTAAATTCAATGGTAATTTGCGCTGATAAATTACAGTTGCAACAGGGGTGAATGGGTTTGCCTCCGGCCATCATTTAGAGCAGATCGCTGCCCGTGTTCCTTCAGAAAGAGCACAAACAGCAGCCGAAGTTATGCTCGGACTGTGGACAGAGGAAGTCTCACTTGGGGTCCGGTACAGCGGATATGACAGATGATATGGAGAGCCTCCGCGGCTAAATTTAACTATGAGCTTACTGGCTCCGCGGCAAAGGAGGCTTCCACACGTTGCATGAGTGTGTGTGTGTGTGTTGCATATGCGTGGACATGTTTGTGTAGTAGAGGCAGCACGTGGGAGGCCAGTAAAGTGTTGAAAGAATGTGTTTTTCCCTGCTCTCCTTAATCTGCTGTTAAAGGGAACGTTGGGTTTGTTCACATTGTAAAAGCAGAACTGAGAATTAATGATAAACTGGCATCTGCTAAACCTGCTTTGTTTTTTCATTAGCTTAGCAATACAAATTCATAAACTTTCAGACATATTCAAATGAGTCTTTACTTTTGCTTTTAGAATAACACCTTCGATTAGGAAGAGGGTCTTTTTTTTTCCAAGAATGGCCGACTCAACCTTTACCCACCACCAAGAACAAAATTCTCTGGGCTGAAGCCTACACACACTCATATTTGGCCCGTCATCCATCATGCCAGCTCCACTACGCCTGAACTCTTTTAACCTGAGGACACAAAGGCTCTTTGACCAGCGGTGTTTTGACGGTAACTGCATACATTACAGTATCCTTTCTGCTCGCAGTTCTGCTTTCCCTGCTTTCCCTTTCTCAAATTCATTGAATACCCAGGAAGTATGCTGGTAACCTAACACATCAGTCTTAAGCAAATACATGATTCAGTTTAGACTGACCAAAAAAAAAAGAAAACCCCTTGGAGACTTTTTTTTTTTTTCCTGTAGACTTTGCCCAGGAACAACAGAGCCAGGGTTTGGGTGAATGTTCCCCTCCATCCTTCCAGAAAGTGTTTATGGTCTTCCATAAAATCAGCAGCTGACTTCAAGGTTAGATCCATGAGAACACAAAGCAGATTTTTGTGTGTGCCCTCGTCACTCCTGGCAGAGTTTACGTTCGAATTTCCAAGGACTGAAGAAAAATTAAAGCTCCTGATTTTGGCTAAATTAATCCCAACTTGTTGTAAATGGTTCTCAGCGAAACAAGCTGTAAGGTCAGCCGGATACAAGGCATTTACAAATTTGCCAATTAAGAATATGAAGTGTAGTCGCAAAGTCGTAGTCGGAGTAAGCTGATTGATCGCTCAAACTCGGGGAAACTGTGCTTGTAATTAAAGAAAAAGCGAGTAAATCAAGTCTGGACAAGGCGGCTGGTTTGATGGATACACGGTAGCTTTGAAATAAACTTTGACGAACAGCATAACCACACCTACGTAGTGTGGTACACATTAAAAATGAAACCCTTCTGATGGTCATGTTTCGAAGCCTTACCTCTGCTTTGTGCTGCCTTTCAGCCCCATGGCCCTGTTTTCCCTCCATGTCTGCCAGCTTTAGTTTCAGGTAGGACACCTCCCCCATAAGACTCAGCTTCTGGCTCTCCAGTGACGTTCTGTGCAGGAGCTCCTGCCATCAACGACAACAACAACAACACACACAGCAAGAGCATGAAGCGACGCACACGAGCACATCGGCGCCTCGGTGACACACAAGAGATACTCACAGAACAAAGGTGACATTAAAGTGTGAGGCACAGCGAGCTACCGGTTCCGTAATGACAGTGCGCTGAAACCCCACTGGTTTCAGAAGCTGTTTGAGTGGCTAAATATACACAACCCATGACCACTATTTATAATGCCTATTTCACAGCTCACTCAAAGTACACAGCAGAAGGGGGAGAGAGAGAGAGTGAGAGAGAGAGAGGTACCAAAAGCATGCAAAACATTCATAGAGAGAACATCAAAATAACTTTGACAGGTGCATTTTCCTGTCCTCTGTGTGTCTATGTGTGAACGGCTGCCAATCAGACCTGGTGCTGAGGGAGACTAGACCATTCTGTGATTTCTGTCCCCAATGGCTGTCAGGCATCGAGAGCCAGACTATGCAGGCAGATGTATTACTAATTTGGTTGATGTCAAAGCAGGTGCTAAATCACTTAAAAGTCTCAGAAACGAGCATCCGAGGCAGGCCGAGCGGTACATATGGATACATCTCATCTAAAGCCGCGGCTTCGGAAAATATCTGGGCTTCTTCTGGAGCGCACATGGAAAATATTAGAGCTTTGTCACCGGGAAGAGATTTACGGCTCAGGTCCAAAGCCTCATAATGACCACGTCTCCGAGAAACCAGCCCCGGCTGCCCTTTTGGTACTCTGAGCGCACACACACACGGCGTTGCACGTAGAAGTAAACTTTACAGCTTAAGCTCTCGACTCATCCGATAGCCGAGGCGCATTCCTGGCACGTGTGAAATTTGTCAGAACAGGCTGAAACAGTCAGATGTAAGAGTGACATGTAGTACCTGGTTCATCTCCCAGTGTCTGCCTGCAGCATGTGGAGCTTTCCCACACGGATGCAGTGGTTTCCAGTGTGTCGGTTTAAGTTTCATACATCCATTCCATTCAGTGTCCTTTGTACTGTTTAGCAAAGCCTCTGCTAAGTTGACAGACGCTTCTAACTCTTAAAGGAGCGCCACCCCTGTTCTTTCTCCCTCCCACATCTCCACCTATTTAAGCTGTTCTTCCTTTCTCCCTCCCTCTGTTGTCCTCTCTCTCCCTCCTTTCTTCGTGGAGGCCTGTATGTGCAAAGTTCTGGGACTTACAGGTTTGGAGGTGTGGCTACTGCTGCTGTAATCACCTGCCCAGACAGACTAGTCCGGGCCCTGCGTAAACCAGACGAACACTCTGAGGCACCGTCCCGGAATGAGTCTGAGCGTCCTAAATATTTTGGTTGTCAAGGCAATCTGCAGCCAGATCCAATGGAATCTTAGCGAGGAATTTCTGTCCAGGAAGCGGGAGCTCATCCCCGAGTTACATTCTGCAGCTTATGAGAAAAACTGGATGAGAGTCGTATTTAGAAGATAGATGGACTAGTCAAGGGCCACGTGCTTTCAAACATCTGATATAATAGTCCTGGATGCCTGCGTGGTGGAAGTCAGACTTTCCTGACTTGGGTCCAGTAACACATTAAACTGGGACGGGTTTAGGAAAAGTTCCGTGTGAGGTGTTCTGACACAGTTCGGCGTGATGTGAGGTCAGTACCTGCTGTAGCATCTCCTCTGTGGAGTCGAGTTTGTGCTGATGCTCCACCAAAGAAGTCTGCAAGTCGCTGATCTTCACCCCCTGAGCTTCCACCTGGTCTGTCAGCACACTCACCTGTTTACGCATGTGGACAGAAAGACGTTACAGATGACAACACTTTTTTTTTCTTTTTCATCATCATTTAGTTCCAAACTTTATCCCATAACTGCCGCCTGCGCCTTGCAAAATTCTTTCAGATTCTCTCTTTGACTGCAGACTTCTGCTATTCGTTAATATCAGCTATTTCCACTTAATTGCTCTTTTTTTTCCCTGTCAAAACGTCTACCTCTGTGCCAGATCAAACATTTCTTTTGAGAAGAAATGAACAACCCTTTGTGCCTCGGTAGCTGCTTGCTGCAACACTTGAGCGACTCCGGCGACGTCAGCGGAACATAGGTTCAATGTAAATCTGAAACTATTACGACCACACAATAGCTAATCACGTGCTAACAGGCGGGCCCAAGCAGCCGACTGGAACAGCTTCTCCAAAGGAATGTTTTATGAGAAACAAACACCTGCTCTCACACACACACATCTACATGTTACATGATGCAGCTAGCCTCAACCTGTCTCTGAAGCACTTGTTCACCAGTCCTCAGGGCTACACACCTACGCATGCAGGCACACACACACAGGCAAACACCAAACAAGACATTCTAGTGTTGTAACAGAACCAAACCCACTTTATAACTGTTGCTTCACCCATGCACGGGGAACGGTGACACGCGATTGCGCAACATTTACAACACAATGCTCCCATCTACCTTTGTCCTTCCTCGTCGTTCTCCTCTAACGCTGATATCTGAACTGTTCCTCTGACAGTGTGGGGTATCATATCTCCTCTTTTGTTTGAGCAGGATCATGACACTGATTCACCTTTATGAACAGGTGTCTGGGCATTTGAGGATAAAGGTGTTGCCAGTGGAGCAGCTTTTTTTTCTTTAATAGATCTCCTAAATCTTATACATACAAGCAGACGGAAATGCTTCAACAACATCCATGCAAGAAAATAAAAAAAACATCCAGTGGCGTGACTAATCTCACCTGCAGAATTAGTGACTCTTTGTCTCCCTCCAGACGTGATAATCGCTCCTGGTAGGACTCGCTGTTAGCATTTGAGTGGAGGTTTACCTTCAGAATAGAGGTCAGCTATTAGATTCAGTAGGTAGTTAACACAGAACCCAGTGGGTCTAATTTGGTTCGAAGCCTCACACACAATTCTCAAACTTCCCATTGTGTCAGTGATGTGTGCGGAGTCTGTAAGAGGTTTACAGGGTCCTAATCCAGTATTAAAAGTGTACAACATATTTCTACCAGCTGATTAGTGGGAAGAAAACGCTGGTTGAAGTCTGGACTGCCAGTGTAGTCCAAGGATATTGCAGATGACTGAAGGGGAGGGAAGGGAAGTAACGTGCAACCAAAATGAGCTCCAGTTTCTCCCAGATCCAGGCTTTCAACCACAATCATGGAAACATTATGTAGCCCAGCGTCCATCACTGCGAACCGACCAGCTCGAGTGGTTTGGAATAATGTGAAATTACTATTAAGCCTTTAAATTCCTGGCATCAGACTTTTTTTTTAAAAGCACTGAATTGAGCCATATATTTGAGTTTACTGAAGTTATTACAACCATTTCTTGACCTTTTGTTATGAACATTATTTGCTCCCCACTGCCCCTCCTGTAGCCGCTTGTTGGTATTCTTAGTTTTTCACCTTGCTTACTTTAATCTGCTTACATTTTTGCCTCCTCCTCCCTACAGAAATATATTGGAACTTTCTTTTATTCCCACAATCTTGGCTAACACAGTGACAAACACTTGTTGTGGGACATGGCTTTATAATGTGATTGATCTCCAGTGAGGCCTAGACATAGTGTGAAGGACTGAAACAGATATTCAAGAATTACAGTGATGGATGGGGGGAAAAAAGTGTAAAATAGAGCTCAAACTAAACTTGTGTCCTGGAAGACATAATTCCTTCAATTTTTAAATCACTGCTGACACATTTAGAGACGTTTTGAGGCTTTTTGTAGCTGTAGTTTGTCGTGTTGTCGTCCTGAGATGCATCTGCAACTGTATTTATGTGCATAGCATCTTTTTTAAGTGAGTAAGCATCCTGTCAAAAGTCTTTTCACCAATAAATACTTCTGTGCTGATTGTGTTTTCTTAGCATTTAAAGCATTAAACAAACACACAGTGTATTGTCATGCCAGGATTATTAGTCATACCTCCTGTTATAAAGAGATTTCTAAATCCACAACACTCCCCTTGCAGGTAATATTTAACATGTGACTACACATGAAAAGTCTTCCTCTGTCGATCTTCAATGATAACTAATGACTTCTTAATGGCAGCAGGATGCTTTCCAAAGACTCTCTACAGGTTAAAGTGACAGGAAGTGTATTTATTTATTATTCTCCTCAGACTATTTAAACCCCTCACGTTACCTCACCGGTCAGCTATTTGAAGATGCACTTTTTGGCTCGTCTGTTAAAATATGTTCTTTCCATTTGAACAAAAAAGTTAGATTTAATTCACAGGCTGATTTGCAAACATCTGCACGGCAGTAAGTCTGCAATCCAATATGCTGATGGTTTTTTTTTTTTTTTACTTTAACTTTTTCCAGTCCATGCGTGCGTCGCATGTTCTGCAGCGCTCTCCTAAACAGAGTAAACATGTCTTCCTCCCAAATTATCTACCATGGCAACTGTAATTACACTGGAAAAGCAAGAACGCTGCAACAACAAAAAAATAAGCAAAACAACAAAGACGGTGCAGGAGGAAGGTATGAAGAGCGGACATGCAAGTGGGGAATGTCTTACCTTTCTGAGCCAGGCAAAATGTTTGTAGAAATCAATATCGTACTCCATTCTGCAGGCCCATTGTACTGTAGGTCTGACTTTTTGTATGTTAAACAAGAATTTAACCTGCAGCACCGAGCAGGACGGACGCACAAGATTCGCAGCGAAAACAAAAAAAAAAAACAGTCTAACTGTGCTGCAGCCTCTGTGTTTTCCTTTCACAGACCCTCCATACTTCACTTGTGCACAGAGGATCTAGGTCCGTGTGGTTTGGAGTCTGGGCTGCCTGAGACTTTTAGAGCTGAGCTGAATAAGTCAAACTATGCCAGTTGGCTGTGCTCCCCTTTCTTTCTTCTCTTCCCCTTTTTCTGCTTCTTTTTAACTCCCCCCTTTTTTTCTCCTCCTGTTTCTCTCTCATACATGCTCCAGCTGCTTCAGTGTTTTCCACATCTCTGCTGCGTCTCATGCATGATCTTTCATCTTTTTGCTGTCCTACCTTTCTCCGTCTCTTTCTTCTGCCTGTCTGTGGCCCGTTCTCTTGCACTGTCTGACGTACCTCTCTGTAAAGCTAATTTTGCGGGGCTTCCTGAAGGGTTGGGGGGGGACGACAGGGGAGAGGAAACTTTCTGCAGCACATGCTTGTCAGATGTGGTGTAGAAGTCAGTAAAGGCACGAGTTCAGGAGGGGGAGGCTGGAGGGAAAGTGTTATAGTGACAGTTTCAAATACAAGTTCAAGTCGTGTAGAAACAACAAATACTGGTTTACTTGGAGCAGGTAAATAGAAAACTGTTGTAGAAATGGAAAAAAGAGAAAAAAAAGAGGGGAGAATGGACCGTGGAAAGGGTATGCTTCTACTTTAAACAGGAGCTCTGGATCTCATTACCGGTGCCATTTACAATAGATCCCACTTCCAGCTCTGTACTTCTCAGCAGACAGGAAAAAGCCCTCCAGATGTTGATGACCAGGATCAAAGACCACCAGATCACAAACTAATAAAACCCATGAACTCTGTAGAAAGAGACTAATAATATGATGCATCAGCGCTGCTCTCTTAACGGAGCCTTTCTCGTATATTGGATTTTGGATATTTCAGATTGAGATTTGATTTGCGTAATCCTGTCACGGCGTGTCTTTCACCCGTACTCACCTCATCCCTCTCCAGCCATTTCAGTATAACATTGGCCGTGTCGGTGGAGACTTGCTTCCTGAGGGTGCCCTGCTCCTCCTCGCTCCCCTGGCCCTCCAGCACTGCCCTGAGGGCCTCGGTCAGCTGAAGGGCCTTGAGGGCGGAGTCCATACGTGGGGGAAGGGTCAACTGGTCGGTACACTCTGAGGACTGGAAATCTTGGCCGCCTAATTGTACAAGAGCACTGAACAGGCCTTCACACATTTTGCCTACAGGAGGGAAACACAGGAAATAAAAGTTCTGCAACTTATTCAACGTGATTGATCGATGGTTCCTTGCATTCTATTAACTTCTTGTTGCGACCTCTCGGGCATCTGCACTGGCATGTAAATGAACAGCAAGATGGATGGAACAATAGTTCCACAAATTACCTCTTGAGGGCACTATTATGCTCCCGCATGGCTCACTGGATGTAAATAGCATCACACTTTGATTGCGGCTTCAGAAATCCACAAATTAGAGGTTCGGCTCGTAGTAGTAGTAGTTACTGTAATCACCACGTCTCAGCTTCAGAAAATCCTTTTCATATACGTCGTTTGAAGTTAAACTGAAGGTACGACGGACATAACGGGTTTGTTTTCACTGACGGTGTGCGATTATTAGTTGTTATCTTCGGTGTAGCTCTTCGCCGAGGTGTGCTAATGATTGCGCCGTCACCTCTATTTATAGAACTTTGTCTTCTAACCCCGTCCAGTGTGGTTGTGACAAAGAGCAGCAACTAAAATGTGGCACCTCGGGTTGAAAATACAGTCGAGGAGGGGAGAGGGATGCTGGAAAGTAAGCTGGAGTTTATGCAATTAGTGTGAGGGAAGTAATAAAAGTACAAAAACACTCAGTGAATAAGAAGTAATGAAGGCGAAAATTACAGAAGTGCTTATCTAATCTTACTGTTCTTCTGTACAAACTCATCTCATTGTCAACAAGTGCTGCAGAAACTCTTTTCTCTCTTGTTTGTAATTTATCCGCCACAATTTATATAATCCTTAGGGTGTTTTTCTTCTTCTTCTTCTTCTTCTGTGTACTATATATGTGTATATATTTGAGCATGCCAGGACGAAATCATGTGGGTAGTAGTGCCGGTTTTATGGAAGCCTGCAATTACAAACTGGGCAGCCCCATCGAAACTCTGATAAAGAAACAGAAACTCTTACCAGCAATAATGTCATCCATTTGCTCCAAGGCAGCCTCCAACATGTGGCTGGCATTCGACGCCATGGCAACACACCGTCTTCTCAAGCAGCACTAGCCGAGCCTCATTCGCTGGTGTGAAGCAGAGTGTTAGCTGGTGGAAGGGAGATGTGTGGCAGAAGGACAGCACTTTGCAGACTACTCCCCTTTTCGTGTTGCACTTAGATCCTTTTAGAGCAAAGCTACAACAGCTGTCCTGACACATGAGTGGCTCCCAAGTAAATAACCTCCTGAATGTGGCTTTTGGGTTTAAACTCTCCTCTCATTTTGTGACCAGAGCCCTCCCCATTGTCAGCTCTGTTTTTTCGCACGAGGCCGAAGCTCATATTTAGAATAGTTTGCCTCTTTGTTTTCGGTGTTTGTGTACGCTTTGGCCCTACAAAAGACACCTTAGAGAATGAGTTTTGATCAGATAAAAGGAAGAAAATCAGCGCTTTACTGTTGAGTTCAAAACGAAGAGTCACATCTGCAGATTTTGATTGACGCTGATGACAGAGAACACAATTCCTAATGAAAAGCAACGCACACACAAGCTGGAGAAAGCAGCCACCCATCAGAGCTCGGGGTTTGGTAATATTTCATTCATTGATTTCGTATTAGAGTTTTGACTTGCATGAAATAAAAACGATTTTCGCACACAGCAGTCACTTAGGATGTAATGATATTTACTTTACAACTCTGTTTTGTTGCTACTCTGGTCTAACAAAACAGAGTTTGCAGGTGAATCCACTGAAAAAAATGTTGATCTTTGTGATGACGGGAAAATCTTCCTTTGGGACGATGATCACATTAAACATTAACCACCAAGAAACGTCATTTGTCACTATTAGTTCATATAAGGGCTGCAAGATGGCGCAGTGATTAGCACCGTTGGTCGACAGTCAAGTATTGAGATTCCATGGGCTCAGTTGCTCTTCTGAATTCAACCTCCTGTTTGCTCAACTCTTGATGCGGAGCTCTTACAGCTTGAACTATCTACTAATTGTAGTCTGGGCTGAAGCGAAGCATTACCTTTCTACCTATGCAGCACAACGCTGACGATGTTTTGGTGTGACGGCACAACAGACCTTGTCTCGTAACACGGACTCCTTGGTCCATGTTACAGGACGGGTCGGGTGGGTGGTCGACATCGACGCCGAAAAAAGAAGTACAAAGTAGATGGCAAACGTCCCACTTGTGGATCTATACCTGCACAAACCATAAGATCCCCCCAGAAAGAGCCTAGAATAAGTCTGCTCAAGTAAAGTGAATGTTAAAATTATAAATTCATAAAGGAAAAATATATACAACACATTCTTAAACTTCAAATCAGATAAAACAGCTTTAAATGATCAAAAGTATTACAAAACAGATACAAAAAAAAATAATCACATTGGACTGAGTTGGATAATCGACCCAAAATGTTAGGAAAAGTTGCCGGTTCGTGTTCCAGTTAGGATGCTCCGGATCTTTCTGCGTGGAGTCTCCATGTTCTCCCCGTGCAGCATGGGTTCTCTCCGGGTTCTCCGGCTTCCTCCCACACAGTCCAAAAACATGTTGAGGTTAATTGGTGATTCTAAATTGTCTGTAGGTGTGAATGTGAGTGTGCTTGGTTGTCTGTCTCTAAGCCCTGTGATAGGCTGGTTACCTGTCCAGGTGAACCTGTCTTCACCCTGAGTCAGCTGGGATAGACTCCAGCCCCCCACGACCCTAGTGAGGTTTCAGTGGTTTATAGATAATGGATGGATGGATGGGTTGAAATGTCACTTGACCCGAACTGAGAAAAAGCATAATGCATTCAGTCAAGCAATCTGTAGAACTCATGCTTATGTTTGCATAAAACCTGATCAGAAATAAGAAGTTGTTACATTAAGATTTAAACATCCTTTGTTGTAACACCTTATTATCCTCTAAGAAACTTTCGTTGAACTAAAAGTAGTAAAGCATTTTTAAAAAGAAAAATCATGAAAAAGCAAAAATAAAATATGAATTACTTTCCATGGTCAAAGTTAATATTGAAAACAGTGGATGAGATGCATTTGTTTTATTTAGTTTTTTTCTTGATTTGCATCTATTTATCCATTCTCCACTCCTCCTGTTGCCACTATGATTACATCTGATTCAGTCTAGTTCACAGTTTGTCACTATAATTTACTTGATGTGTGTTTGTACCTTATGTTTATGTCACCAGTCATATTTTGCTTAAGTTCACAGAACAACCAACAGGGTGCATCACTAGTCAAAGAAAACAACACACTGTCATCGTCACAGGTCGTTACTGAAAATATGCATGAATATGTATGTAGTGGCACATACAGAGAGGTCCAAAAGTCTGACAACTACATTTAATATAATGTAAATGGAACAAAACCAGGAAGTTCATGGACTGAAAGCACAAGAATGATGTAGAAAAATCTTCTTTATTTCTCAATCGGCTAACAAATGAAAGCAAAATTCATGTCACTGACCACCTTAACCCCTTTGTGCAAAAGGTCAGATTTCCCTTTTGCCCCGTCCACTGAAGCTTGTAATGGGATGACACTCAGGAGAAATGGCGCTCCAGTCTTTCTGAGGCTTGCCCCGCCCTCTGGTGTGCATCTTTGTGGCTGAAGGATTCATTCTTGCAGCGGGATAATGAGCCCAAGCACACCTCAAAGCTTTGAAGAAGTACTTGAAGACCAAAGAAGAGGAAGGAGTGCTGACTGTCGTGAACTTTCCTCCACAGTTACCTGACCTCAACCCCATTC